ATGTATAATGTATATATGTACATTTATGTGTGTATGTATAATTTCATACAAAATGTACCCACATGCACATGTACAAACTCCACATATGCATGCAGCTGAACGTATCAAGAAGAATATGGATTTTCCATGGCCCCTGGCCGACACTCCTATGTTTTTCTACGTCACTACAGGCCAGGAAGAAATTTCAAGTTCCGGTACCTCATATCTTAATAGGTTAGTTAAATTAGGGATTAGTGTTTGGGGGATGGTATTGTATTTTATTATACCTTTAACCTATTATATCGATTTAATTTTCTTACAGGACTGAGGCGGCGAACGTTGAGAAGATCGTTACTCGTTTCTTGAAGTCCGGGGTTAAACCTGATCAGATTGGTATCATCACCCCTTATGAAGGTTGGTTGATTGATTGATTAGCTGATTGATTGATTGATTGATTGATTGTAGATTGTGCCCTGTGTTGTCTAATAATTGTGAAAAAGATAAAAAAAAGTAATGATAAATTTAAAAAATTTCTACCCCTATAAAAAACAGGACAGAGAGCTTACTTGGTGCAGTACATGCAGTTCAACGGCTCCCTCCATGCCAAACTCTACCAAGAGATCGAAGTCGCGAGTGTCGACGCTTTTCAAGGACGAGAGAAAGATTACATTGTACTTTCCTGTGTCAGAGCCAATGAGCACCAAGGAATTGGGTTCTTGAATGACCCCAGAAGACTTAATGTTGCCCTGACGAGGGCAAGGTTAGTTTTTGCTTCATTGAAATGTTTCGCTATTGACGCTAGGTTTTCTATGCACTAGATTTTAAAGTTCTATGTTGCGAGTGCCAATTTTTGTCATCTTTAGCCGTAGTTAAGAATTAATTAACATTATTTTAAGGTAAAGAAATTTATATTTTAACACAGTAAAGAGTAATTTTGCAATTGTTGAGTTTGATTTAATTAATGAACGTTGGAAACTTGATATATATATCTAAATGTCTGATTAATTTCTTATATTCTATCATGATAGCATGTTTCTTCACATTCCTTGTTTCTTTAGGTTTGGCATTATCATCATTGGCAATCCTAAAGTTCTTTCAAAAGTACGTAGAACTTCCATTTAGTTTTACTATTTATTATTTATGCTAGTATTGTTCAAAATTCATTCATTCATTTTTGTTCTTCATTTATTCATTCAGTTATTGGTTTTCACATTCATTCATTCCTTCATCCATTCGTTCGTTCATTCGTTTATTCATTAAATTATCATATAATTGATTAATTAAGTTTATTTGATAATAATTAATTATATGTTTAATTCAGTTTAAAATAAATGTCACTAATACTGCAATCACAAAAAATCAGCAACCCCTCTGGAACCATCTTCTGACATATTACAAAGAGCAGAAGGTCCTCGTCGAAGGACCTTTGAATAATTTAAAGGAGAGTATGATCCAATTTAGCAAGCCAAAAAAACTTGTCAATGCATCTAATCCTGTTAGTTTGGATTTACATATGCATTCATTTATTTCTTTCTTCCTTTTTTTCATTCATTCATTCGTTTGCTCGTTGTTTATTCTCTCCCTTTCTTTCTTTCTCATTCCACTCATTCATGTGTGTAATTAGCTGATCTTTTTATTAGCACACTCGTTTCAATCATTTCTTCCATCAATTCTTCCTTTAGCGTGTGCTCATTCATCTATTCGTTCCCTCTATCATTCATTCATTCCTTCATTCATTTTCTTTTCATTCTCACTCCAGTCATTATTTTCACTGTCGATGAAAAGTTGAAAAGTTTTTATACATACACACGCGCGTACAATTTTATCTATCAATTTTTTCGAATTGTTTCCTCCACTAACAAACATCTTTCAAACCAGGGTGGCCGGTTTATGAGCACTACGATGTTCAACGCGCAGGAGGTTCTGATACCTGGCAGTGCCTATGACAGAGTTAATCCAAACGTTGGTTAGTTAGCTCATTTCTGCGCTCTTACAATCTCTGTTCTTCTGTTTCAGTTTTAATGTTGTGATTGGATGATGATGAGGGTGGTGTTTATGTTTTGATGTCGCTAGTTGGACGAATGATTTTGTTGCTGGCTGGTCGTTTCATTGTGTGCTCGTTTTCGTTCGTTGTTAATTGAATTATCTTTTATCGAAATAACATTAATTTAAATTTTTTTCCCTATCGAAATGTAAAAACAAGGCAATAAACTAAAAAAAGGTCCCAGACTGAACCCGGATAGCTACATACGTCATGATCAGATGACCTATATCGACCAGGCAGCTCACAACAGGCTGATGAATGGGCCAATGAACTTGCCCGTACCATTTCCATACCTAATGAATATGCTAGCTCCGCCCCCACCGCCTCATTTTGCATTCATGAATATGCAGCAACAGCAACCAGGTGAGGGCGTTACTTTTAGATTTGTCTCCGTTTTTTTTGTTTGCTTGGTTATTTGTATTTTTAGATTTGTTTTTTGCCTATTTTTAGATTGTCAAGTTTGTTCCTATATTGTATACGAATTCTAATGCATTACAGGTAGAGCTCATAACCCGTATGCCCCTGCTGGGAGTAGGCAGCCCCCAAAATATAGGCCCCCGAGATATCTCAACCAGCAGCCGAACCAACCATCACTCAATATGGCGTCGCAGGTTTGTCGATCAGTTGGTTGACTGATGGATTGATTGATTTTCTATTTATTTATTTTTTTATTTTCTATTTTCTGATTTCTATTTAGTTGATTGAGTGATTGTTTATACATTGGTTGATTTGATTGTTCATTGGTTGCCAAATGAGAGATTGATTTGATTAACTGACCGTCCGGTAAAATGGTTGACGGGTTGGTGATTGATTGGTGACTGATTGACTTCCAACCACCCAACAACAGGAGAGCAAGTTACTGGGTCCAAGTTCTCAGATGGAACCTCAATTCCTAACTCAGCCTCAGGGCATGAGCCAGTCATTCATGATGAGTCAGCCCGGTAACAATAGCAGTATGTTCTCACAACAATTGTCTCAGGTTTGTTTGTCATTGGTTGTTAGTCCTTTGATGTTTTGTGTAAAATTTGTTATTCTGTTTAGTTGATATTGTTGTTTCTTTTGTTTTAATAACTTCAATCGACACTCATTAACATTACACCATCTCAACTACAACACTAACAGGACAGCTTCATAGCAGATGACTTGCTGAAGTCACAGATGGATGCCTTGCTATCACAAGATTCCACCTACCAAGGAGATCATTCTGCCTATCATCAACTTTCACAAAGTATGTCTATATATATTGTGTGTGTGTGTTTGTTGTGTGTGTGTGTTTGTTGTGTGCGTGAGTGAGTGAAGTGCAGCAGGTGACCAAGGATTTCAATTCATAATTTTTATATTTTTTTTTTCATTTTCAGGTGTTGGTTTGTCTCAATACTAAAGGGTCTAGAGGAGCAAAGTTCGAGAGAGCTGGAGTGTTGTTTGCTGCGGCATGTGTCTGCCTAACACTGGATTGATGTCAGCCATTTGAATCTATTTTATTAATGAATCTATCTTCCGATTGGTCAGATGGTTGATTGAAGTTACTCGTTGGAGTTGAATGAGTAGATAGCTAACTGCATTTCATCTATTTATAGAATTGGAGAGCAAACTGTGATAGAAAAAATTGAAATCAGTAGAAGATATTATGTTAAATAATGGAAAATTTGAAAGAAAAATGTATACATTTTTCAAGAGTTATGAATTTTTATTTTTGCCTACCTGAAATTTTTCAAATTTCTTTTATTTACGTTGTGAACTGTTCACTTTTGCCACATGAAAGAGAATAAAGCTGACGACTCTGCGGAATTTTGAAGCAAATTATAATGGAACTACATCATACACACCTGGTCAGAATAACTTTTTTCCATGTAACGACTATTCTACAACTTGAAATCTATTCATTTTCAACAAAACACTACTACTTCTGAATTTAACTTTCGAAACGTGATTATCTGCGGGCTACACACTGAATGAAATGAAAAGATTCAAAAAACGCCAATCCTGTTACTTCATCCCAAAACTAAAATTCTAGAGGCATTTTATAGCAAGCCTCACTGAGAAATAATGAAACAGAAGAGGAACAGACAGAAACAAACCGATTATAACAAAAGACGCCGTTTCTAGGCTGAAAAATGCCTGAAATGTTCACATTTCACCATACTTGGTAGCTAAAAATTATAACCAAAACTGAAAAATGACGATGCGAAAGCGAGGAGAAAGAAGCTTCAGCAGACGAGACGAACGCTTCAAAAACAACACTCTACTTTCTAGGAACCAACTGCTGAAATACATGCAAATGAGTACAAACCAAACCAGACCCTAAATTTATCACAGGATACTGATGAAGATGATGATTGTAGTGATGTATCCAAAGCATACGAACGCTTATTTTTAACTATATTCAAACTTTTATTTATAAACGTCACATTTGGGTTATTAAATATGTTTTGAATTGGTCATTGATTTATTCTATGTTTTTTTCATTTCTAATATAATTCAATCTTGTTATTTAAATTAATATTGGTAAATTATTTTCAATAAATAAAAAAATTGATTAAATAAACTAATTTAAAGTGTTTGTTTGGTCAAGGTTTCATATATATATATATATATATAATTAAATTATATTACAAAACTCCCTTTTTTCGAGATCAGGTGTACGTTTTATATTTAATAAATGGTCTAATAAACAATTTTATGTTTGGCAGGTGGTTTTACGTCTAATTAAATCACTAATTTTAGGAATCTTTTTCAAACAGCTAGATGGCACTGTACACTAATTTGAAAGAAAACGTTTTGTATTTGTGTAATACATTGAGAGAAAAAGATATCTGTTAACTATCAGGATGTCCATTAATTTCCTAAAATGAATTCAATCTGAGAATAAATAATTACATAAAAACTGTACCAGAAGGTATATTTATTACACAGACAATTTAAATGAAAGTAATTATGACATAAAAATATAATTTATTCTACAAAAAAAGCTAAATTACTATTCATCCGATTGTTTTTTCTTCACTTCTTTCTCACCTACTTTCTCTTGCAGTTGGTTTAACTCTTCATCTATTCTCTCCTTTGCTCTGACAACCTGAAACAAATTTTCATTTTTGGAGTCAAGGATAGCTAAGTAGAAAGGGTTATCAATAACAAATATTGACCAATTGACCTTTTATTATCAAATAAAATACGTTCATAATTCGTTTATCGAGGCATATTTATATAGTGCGATTTCTAAAATGATGCAATCACTCAAGCCATGTCGGCAAGTTGAAATGGTTATGGAAATATAGTAGTAATACAAATGGCTAAAATACTGTTATAATACTCGCTGTCGTAACCGGTTTACGATGCGACGGGTTCAAATCTTCGATTGAATAAAATACTCCAAACAGTTATTAAACTTTATTTACAGAAGAAATCAACTATTATTAGTTATTAAACTTTATTTACAGAAGAAATCAACTAATCGTTTATTTCCAGTAAATTCGCACTAACGCAACAATTAACTTTTAAATCTTTCAAAATCTATCGCTATGACAACGTCAACAAACAAATCAAATATCGCTTTAAATAATTCACCGAATCGCTATTCACAAAGTCACGAATTTCACTAATCACGAATATCACTAATCACAAATATCACTAATCACGAATATCACTAATCACAAATATCACTAATCACGAATATCACTAATCACAAATATCACTAATCACAAATATCACTAATCACAAATATCTTGCGACGTGCGCTTATATACTCTTCGCAAGCATCGTTTCTAGATTCTTCCCGATGGTCCGATTCCAGCATACTCTAGAACGTTCCAGTCACTAAAACATTCTAGAATACGCTAGAATCTAGTGCGTTCGGTAGCACGGTTATAACAATACTAATAGTAACAAAAATAAAACGACATTTTAAATATTAAATGACATTATTATTTATTAAATAAACTAACAATTAACTATATGTTAAATTTAATAAAATAAATAAAAATAAATCAGCTACTTTAGATTGGAGATAAAATGACCCTCCAGCTGACTTATCATTAACTTTGAACAGGTGGTTGTAATGCTCTAGTAACTTTTCCTTGTTCTTAATGCAGTCTAGATTTAGGATTTGTTTGGCTTCCTAGAAATAAGTAACAGTTACTAATAGTAATTGTAAATACTAACAAAACTAGCAATAAGGTAAGTCAAAGTTAGTAACAGTTGAAATGAAAATGAATGTAATAGCACTAAAGTAAGGACAGAATAAAACTAAATTAAAAAAAAATGGAAATGGGTTAAACATAACAGTATGTATTATCTGTTAGTTGATGTGTTTGATGTGTTAGTCGGTGTGCTTTGATGTTACAGTTAATTTATATTTATAAAATTCCACATGCATAGAATAACAATTTAGAAGAGAGATAACCAAAAATTTAAAAAAACAACCTGTAATGTCATCCCAGCAAGAGAAGAAGCAGCAGCACTGTGAGAGCTACTACTACTCGATTCACCTGACCTGGATTTGGCGGCCTGCTGACTAGCTCTTATCTCATTCTGAACTGCCCTTGCAAAAGCCCTTCCAACAATCTGTATGCCACTAATCACAATTTGTGCAAGATGTTTTGCCTGTGTATGTAGTTTTTGAATGGTTATCATCAGCCATAAAACTATAAAATAGAGTATGAGAAAAGTCTCTGGTTTTGAACAGTCAGATGAAATGTGTACAATTATCTATCAGTATCAAACAACAATGTGCTGTTTCCTATATTGTACTACAATTACATTGTAAAGTCTGTTTCAACAATTGAAATAAAACTACAAAGTGTAATAGTATTCTCTAATGTTTAATTAAATAATAAAACAGAAAATGAGCATTTAAACTTTTTTAAATAAACTTTCTAATAAAATGGTAACAAAATAAAATTTTTATTTATTTATATTTTATAATTAAAAATTGAGTAATTTTTACCATTCACCAAAGTCCAAAGTCAAAAATAATTAATAAACTAACCATTTACTATAAAATTAATTATTTCAGGAATGGAGTAAGGAGTAAAAGTTGAAAATAGCAAAATTTTCTTGACTTTTCTTGAAAATAAATCTCTGATAGCTCTGTGGCACTGCTGTAGGTAGAACAGTATTATAATTATATAAATAAAAAATTATTTGCATGTGTTGTATAGCATGTTTCCATCCAATCCAGAAAATGAAATTGTAAGTACAAACGAACATACTAACAACTAACACTAACCTTAACTAAAATGAAAGCTTTACGTTCAGATTGGACATAATAATTGAAATTCAGATATTGTTTTTACTCAATCAAAATATTAATATTAGAACAGTTATACAGTTTATTGCGATTATTTAGAAACTCGACAAGCCTACCAAAAATGTTGTAACCTTTGAAGTTCGAAAATAACCACATCTCGTAGTTAACCACATTAACAACGAAATAACCACATTAACCAAACGTGGAAAGCTCAAAAGATGTTCGTAACTTTAATAAATTTATATTAATTTAAACAGAAAATCATTAACTGACAATTAAATATTAATTATATAAATATAATAATGCAAATTTTTTAAAATGTTTGAATGAAAATGCTTGTTTGAATGTTTTGGCTCAGTATTTATGTTAAAATTTCAAGCATTGACTGCATTTAATCCTACTCAAATACATACAATTGTTCATAGTTATACAGCAAATAACGAATATGCAACTAATTTCAAAGTGAAGGTTGTTTCGGTTTCTCTAATTTTGTGCGTAAAAAAGTGAGTATTGCTTGTTTAATGGCTGGACGTGATTTCATCGTCGCGTTCATTAAATTAAAATTAAAGTTCCTGCTTGTTTCCTGTTTCATATTTGTTAAAGTAAAAAAAATAAATAAATAAATAGTGTTGCAGACAGTTTTTTTTAATTTTTAAATCATCTTTTCTGATTTTGTTTTTCATTTCATTTCCCAAGATTTTTAATTGTTTTCTGTTTTTAAGTTAAAAATAATAAATAATCAAATAAAATAATACTGAAATTGAACATTTCAATTAATTAAATAAAAAATTCAATCAAATGCTGAAAAATTATTAATAAATAATTTTTGAATATTATAAATGTGAAATGTAAAAAAAATCAATAAAACCATAATATTGAAATGAAAAATTATTCTTTAACAGTTCAAATTATTCTTTAACAGTTAAAACAAAAGACCTGATCAGTAGTCAAAGGCAAAATGATGATCTGTAGATCTTTAACTAATAGTCTGCTTTATAAAATTTTTATTTATTACAAGATAATTTATTGATTAATTGATTGATCAATTATATATTAATTATATTGTAGTTTGTGTTTAACTCTGAATTTAACAACAATGAAGACTCAGTTTTATTAATGTTCTCCATCTGGTTCTTGTCTAAAATCTATTTGAGATCAACTGTTTTAAAAATTATTTATTTTATATAGTAAAGTATAAAGTATGGTAAAATTATTTAATTTAAAATGTTAGAAAATTAACACTTTAAATTATTTATTCATCTGCAAGGATTACCTCTCATCAAAAATCTCTTCCCAGCTGGTTGCGTGGCCACAAGAACTCACTACAGTAACTCATATTCAAATAAAACTTTCATCAAATTAAATTTTAAAAATTAATTTCATTAGATGGTATTAATTATTAGTTTAATATTTGCTAATTAAAACTTAACAACTTGCTTGCAAGCCATCAAATCTACAATAACCAATCTGATTTCACAAATTTTTGAAAAAAAAAACAGAGCAAGTGAGCCCAGAAGATCCTGTAATGGAATGGAAAGAGTTGACTGATCGTGCTGCAAACAAGGCATTCTTCATTGAATTGATGAAAGGTTTTGTTTGTATGTGTGTGTACGTATTTGTGTGTGTGTAATTTAAAAATGACAAATTGGTACTTTAATAACTCTCTTTATTATATTTATAACATAATAAAAATTATGCTTTACAAATCCAGGTATGAACATAGTGATGAGTCAACTGTTCAAAGAGCCAGCAACAATCAACTACCCATTCGAAAAGGGACCTCTGAGTCCCCGCTTTAGAGGCGAGCATGCCCTGAGAAGATACCCCTCCGGGGAGGAGAGGTGCATCGCTTGCAAGCTCTGTGAGGCCGTCTGCCCTGCACAAGTTTGTGGTGGTGTTTTGGTTGATATTCAATTCTTAAAAGTTACATTAATCTTTTTTTTTGAGTTGTACTTATAATCAAATTATTGGTGTTTTCAAAACGTTTATGATATATACCCGATGATAATAGATAATAGACACACATTCACGCACGCGTGCACATGCACGCACACACATTACGAAACAACAACAACAACAACGACGTCCAGGCAATCACGATTGAGGCAGAGACGAGAGCGGATGGAAGCAGAAGAACAACGAGATACGACATCGACATGAACAAATGCATCTTCTGTGGTTTCTGTCAAGAGGCATGCCCTGTGGATGCTATTGTTGAGGTTTTACTTTATCTTTACATCACCACACTTTCAATTACCATCTTAATAATTTAAACTCGGTATTTTACTCTCTTTCAAGATTTTACTATATAATTTTTGTCAATTGATCTTTTTTATTTCTGCCATACACCGTATAAAACATCTAGGAATATATTTATTTTTGTGCACATACATATACAAAAGACACCACCGACATGCACGCACGCACGCACACTTGCAGAAAAGAAGACACATATTAAAATAATAACTCACCAATATAAATTTTCTTTCAACAACTTAGGGTCCAAACTTTGAATATTCAACTGAAAGTCGGGAGGAGCTGATGTACAACAAGGAAAAATTATTGGCCAACGGCGATAAATGGGAGGTAGAGATAGCTGCCAATCTTCAGGCAGATCATTTGTATAGATAAATAGAGTTCACTCACTATCTAGAGTTCGTTGTATTGAAATACAATACAACGACAAAGGCATACGGCGATGTATAACAATACATTTAAATTAGTTAATTTAGTTAATATTAAAAGAGTATGGTGTTGGCTTTTAGGATTTAAATAAATTAAGATGACAATACAATGTTCTTGTGCTCTTTACCTTGCTACTTCTTTGCAGCTACCATCTTTAATTGATATTTTAGTTCGCCGCAATGAATTAGACAAACGACATAGAAGAAATGACTTTACAAAGGACTTTGTTAATACTGATTTTATTGAAAAATATAAATAAGTAAATAAATAAAGAAAATAATATCACAGCGTATCATGTGGCCAAATATATTACATATTTACACTATATAAATATATATATATACACACACATATATATATACACACACACACAATCATATATGTTACAACGGAATAGAAATTAATTAAATACGCCCATCTCCTAAACGTCATCACTAACATTCATCATACAACATGTTGGAATACTTCAACAAATCAGAAAGCGCTATGTATCTCCTAATCTCATTCACCATGCAGCAACCACTGACGCTGCTAAAACGCTGCCTACATGCATGCACTATGCAATGAAACGTCAGTGATGTACTGTTTAGAAGGGTGTGTGTATTCAAAATTTCATCGAAATAGTTGTCCAAATTGTTCTTAATGATTTCTATAGCTCGCTCTTCAATGGCCGTGACCATGTATTTGTGCGCCAGTTTAAATATTCCGATTATAACGTCTGTTTCGTCGATGTTTTTCTGGAGGGGTTCAGTCGATTCTGATAGGATGCTATCGTTAAATAGGGCGAAGGCCGTTCGAGAAGTGTCTGGAAGTTTTATAAGTAGCGTGGATGATTCAATGTACGACCCATGAAACATCGTTCGAAAAACGTCGGAATTTCTCGATAAGATGTCCTTGTTTGATTGCACAGTTTGACCATCGTCGAAATTAAACGAAACATCCATTGTAACGGTACCTGGAGATGTGGTTGCGGTCGTCTTCCCAGTTTTTGAAACTGTTTTTGAATTGTTCATTATGCGATCGGTGACCTGAGAAGGTTGTGCTTTTGATTGTCGAACGATGTGAACGAAGGCCAGTGTCGCCAGGGTCTGATATTCATCTTGATCGTCGTACATCACCTCCAGTAATGTTTTAATTATGGTGTCGTGCACGAAAGGTTTAGGCATTTTGTATCTGTCACTGTTAATAGAAGATAAGAATATTTATAAATGAATTGAAGAATTCAATAAGAATGGAAAAATTGTTAACGTTTAACGTTATTTTCACTAATAAAATGATAATTTTAAACACTAAAATTCTCTACAAAAATAAAATCTACGAACCTGGTTAGATAGGCCAACGATATTATCGCCTTCTTCTTGCTCTTGCTGTCATCCAGCAAATATTTCAAATGACATCTGTGAAGGCTGTTCGTTAGAATTTGTAAGACATTCTTATAAGTTTCATCAGAGATGCGTTTGGGTTGAGAGGAAACTACAAATTCGTCGTCGTCACCGTCATCATTTAGGTACTGAAGATGAAAGGCTGAAGGAAACATTTCTGTGATCAGCAGCAGGAAATAATCAGAGATGCCACACAATTTTTCGAATATTTGAACAATCGTTACATTCTCGTTATAGGCGATCAAGCATTTGACCATCGCCCCGATAAAATTCTGATTTACAAAATATTTTATCCAATCTGTTCTTCTAACGAATTCCGTTATGAACGAGAGAATGCTGGCGTGGTAGTAGTGGTGCACAAGACGACCTCCCATTACGTTACTGCCGATACTACCTCCATTGTCACTGCAACAACTGCTAGATGCGCCGCTATGAGCTGGCAGAACTTTTTCATAAGAATTACCAAAGTGGGCCAAAGTATTTATCGTATTCAGGTTTTCCATCCTAGGTCGTTTAACGTTTTTTTGACTGCCACAACTTGAATTTTGATTTGATTTTAAAGAGATTAATTCTAACGGAACGCAGTACAGTCTGGACATGAAAACTCGATCATCTTGCAGCTGTTTGGCGTAGCTGTAGAGATCGTCGTCGTCTGCGTTTCGTTTCTTAGTTGATGGCATATTATAGATTCTTGCTGTTGTTGTTGTTGACGATGATGACCTACTAGTACTGCTCGCGTCCCTAGACTCGTCACTGCTTCTTTTACGCTTGCCTCTTGTCGTCGGTGTTATTTGTCCAGTTGCCTCTTCTACAGCTGGCAGCATTTTTGCTTCTTCAATTTCTATTTCTACGGTTTGATCTGATTCTCCTTCAACAAAAAACATCTTTCCTTCTTCTTCATCGTTGTCGTCTGTATCTATTTCTATTTCTTTTACTTTTTCCTCTGTTTCTTCTTTGTAAGATAAAAACTTTTGCTCACCGATGTCAGTTTGCTCACTAGATGGCGTTTTGACGCCATCTTTGATCATTTCAGCTGAATTCTCGCTGTTTAATTCATTCAAATCAGAGAAGGATGAGTTGGATTTCAGTTCATCACAAGAATCTGACGGCGTGAGAGGAGTTGCATAGGTCTGGTGAGCAACAGTCTGCAGGGAACTTCGGTACAACTTTCTAGAATATTCAACAACGCCTTCTGATGCATTTTTCAGTAATATGTCGGTCAGAGTTTCAATTATGCTAACAGCAAACATTTGATGAAACTTCTCGCAGCCTAATGACAATTTCATCAGGATGGCTAAGGTTCTTGTTAGAAATTTTTTGGTTAACGGGTCTGACATCTGCTTGAGAAGCAGAGATATATTGGCAATGGATGTATTACACCTGTGTTGAGAGCATTCTATGATGTATCCAAAGTATCGTAACTTTTCATTGACATTGTCAGCAGCCTGAAACGATTTTATAAAGCATTCTAAGAAGCCATAACTACGATATGTTTTCAACAGTGGCTCACAAACTGTTATCTTCTGAACGAATGAATAGGCCATCTCTGATACCTCTTCATTGCCACTTTTTATGAATTTCGAAACTGATTCCAAGGCTCTTGACTCCGCTAGCTGGTCCAGCACTTTAGTAGTCCAACTGCAAAATATAGAAAAACTTTTTACCTCAACTAATTCTGTTATGCTGCAATTTTATCAAAAACACTAAACAAAAAAGTTAGGAAAGAAGTGTTTTGAAACCAACGTTTTCACACAAGAGCTTTATAAATTTTGGTCTATAGACTAGACACTATCCATATGCAACAGATATTGCAACAATAGATATATATATCCATGATTGCAACTGATACACTTAATGTCAATAGACAATTTGAAAATAAAATTATTTTAAAAAACTAACAACAGATAGAACGTTAAAAAAATCACTTTTTAATGAATACGTATAGAGTAGCTAGGATCTGCCTCAGCTGTTCCTTGCCGTCAATCACTTCAGGGATTAGAGACTTCCCAACACAACATACGGCTCTGTAGCCAACCATTCTTTCTATCAAAATTTTGTTTTTTGATAAAATTCTGTAAAATAATACATAATAATAACTCATTTTATTTGTTTATTTATGAATAGTTATTAACAAATAAAACTCAAAGTTAATATTATACATCAAAAGGATCTCTTTTATGTTTTAGTGAAATTATTTGGCACTAAAGATAGAAAAATATGACACAATTTAATAGTGAAGAGTGTATTTGAACTAAAATCAGTAACATACATAATATAAATGTATGTAAATTAATCATTTTTTTAATCAATCAAATCAATTTTTGCATGCTGTAACAGTTTCTGCATCTGTCAGATCATGATTTTTAAAGAATAGTAATAAAAAAAAATTTGCAATTTTATAGAGCAGATTCTGAAAATTTAAATTCATTGTATTAACCAACTAACCCTATTGTTTTGGAATAGCAAGCAATGTGATTCTTTTCTTTAGATTTACCTAAACAGTGAATAATGCATCTGACAGTTGACTCATCTTCGTGTACTATCGAGCAGCAAATATCGTTTCTGCAGAGGTTACCGATGGTTCTACAAACTCTATATTGTATATCTTCATTTTGTGATGTTTTTAATAAGTTACCTGGGGAAATTTAATTTGATTAATTAATTAATTAATTATTTAAATAAAAATAAATAATGTTATATTATTCGTTGCTAATATTAATATTACAGAAAATATAGAAAGTGGTTATAATTAACAGAAAAAAAATAATCATTTATGAAATTTTTAAAAACTTGCATATCAATGGAATGCTTTGCCATTTCAGAAGCTGTGAAAATGAAATAAATAAAATATTAAATTATTACATTACAATTGCAAAAAATTATAAAAATGAAATAAGTTAATTTAATAATTCATTTTATTTATCCACTCATTCACAATAAGTAATAATATTTATTTCCAAATAAAAAAAGAACTGATTAAAAATTGAATTAAATTTAGAACCTGTAGTATAGTCGTTTCTTCGGTGCAACAATTGCCTAGCAAACTCAGTGCAAGTTCTTTTGCAGGGAACGATTCGTCATTCAGCATGTTTAACAACTTCGAGAGACCTGTCAATCATTAATTTTTTCATCTCTTCATTAAGAATGCTACATTTTCTTTTTTAATTAGTTAGACAATTAACTAATTTTAATTAAATAAACACACGATAGATAGATAAATGACATATGGTTTTATAAAAAAAAGGCTAACCTATGAAAAAAATAATATGATTTGATTACATTGCATTGCATAAAAGATTAAATTAAAACATAGGACACAATTTTAATTTTAAATAATAAATTTATTTTCTAAATAGTACAATACAAAATTACAAAAGTATTAATATTCATTGGCTACCAACTGCATTCTCCATTCTACAACAACCAACCAAAAATAAATAAATAAAGGATAATTCAAATGAAATGATGACCAACCATTCAGCTTTCTAAAAATGCTAATGTCGCTTGGACCTTTGACATGATGGATCAATTTCTTCAAAAGTTTGCAGGCATCTTCAACATTGGAGCCACAAAAATCCATTCTTTCAATCAAAAGCCCGATGTAATTCGAGGATGACATATTGCGACGAACGAACAAAAAAAAACAAAGATTGAAGACCTTCTTATAGCTCTTATAAGAACTATTCCGGATTAGATCAAATAAAACTGAAATAAAACTTTAACCGATTATTTTCGTCGCATGCCCTATATGCTTTACTGACTATACCTACACAGCCCAGCACAGATGATAATAAAGGATGTACCGACTTTACCGAATTTTACGATCTTCGACTTTAAGCATAAAAAATTAAATAAGCGATTGTAAAATTTTGAAATACGGTTGTTTTACTAAAGCGTTTCTAAATTTACGATTATTAATACCATAGAAACAATGTAAATAGAATATCAATGTAATATTAATATTTTATATTTATATGACTTATATGTTTATAATAATCAACAGTCTATTTAAGTACATGTCAAATGTAGATGCAAAGGCATCCTTCATTAACTAAAAAATTAGCACACAACACGCGCACGATCATTGAAAAAACACAAATTTGATTTATTTTATAAGCACTTCATAACGATAAATATATCCTATTCTTATCGTTATTCTAATTAAAAAACCGAATAAAACCGACTATTCGGTATTAGAAATTCCATGATACGACATCGGTATAATATAACTAAAATTAACTTTTAATTTGGCAAAAGTAAATCTTAAAGTGCATCGAGGTTAAATGTCTGAATTTGATCGTAAAGTTTTAATTGTGAGCCCACTTTCTAACGCCAGTGGGAACAAATCTACCGCTTTAAGATTGAAGTAATGACGAAGTTACATTTCTTTAATTATTGTTTTAGTAAAATCCGGCATACGTACCGGTGTTAGATTATTAGAGCATTAGTTAGCAGCCTCAGCTCAGTTCTACTCATCTAAGTTTGTTGTATTATAATTATATTACAATTATTTTATTTATCCTATAAAATAAAGTTAACCGTTGTGTAATGATGGTAATCTAATCCGGTAATCGTGATGTAAATGTTTGTAAGGCTTTGTAGACCATGTTATCATTGACATCATTACAACTTAGCTAGATAATTTTTAAATTTAATCTTTTTTAATCAGTATTCATTCATTGTCATCAGTGGAGATCATTTATATTATAATTATAAATAAATCATTTCATATTATATATTTATTTATAACTTTTTTGTTCAACAATTACAGAACTTATTTTAAAAATTGCTTCGTGAAAGATGTGAAGGATCTCAAAGACGATGTTGAATTGAATGATTTTATCATTAAAAATAACATATCATGCATTATAAGCTTTCATGCCTATAGAACTGGTCACCTTTTCCAAAGTAATTTTTCATTAATTTTCCCAAAATAATTTTTTTCATTATGAAGATTAGTTAATTAAATGTGTTTTTAAAAGTGTAGCTAAACTTTGGTCATCATAAATAAATTGTCTTCATCATCTTTATTATCCTAGTCATAGTCAGAATATACTTTATAATAATCATTATTATCATTTTTAATAATTTAATTATAAATCTAAATGAAATACTTCAAAGTTAGTTTGTTTTTTTGTAATTTTAACATCTATGTAATTTGTAATTAACATTCTGTTTCAGATGGTTGTATTGTGCCCTATTCTTTTATCTTTGTTGGCACAGATTTGAATGTTTTTAGTAAGAATGAAAATCATAGAAACTTCATGTATGGAGCACTGCTTAATTCCAGGTAGAAAGTTAACTTGGTCACAATTTTACACAATTTTTGTTTAATTTATGTAGCTCTTTATTTTTTTGTGATCCTATATTTTTCATTTTTGATTTAATTTATATTATTTCTTTAATTTTTTCCAGCTCAACTATTACTTTCAATAAATATATGGAGGATTTGATAACAAAAACATGGGTACTGATTAAAAGTTACCTTAAATTGAATTATTTATTTAAATTCATACATACTTTTTAATTTTTTATGGAAATACTATTTAGTCTGTTTTTTTTTTAGAAAGGGCTTTCCTTTAAAGTAGTTGATGAGTTTGTTTAGTTAATTATAAATTGTTATTTAATTTTAATCATGGCTATTAAATTTCCGTCTGCTTGCTTATCATTTTATTTATTTTGTTTTTTCCACTAAAACTTTTAGCCGAAGTTAAGAAACAAGAAAAATTTCTTGATACCACAAGGCATGTTATTATTAATATTATTTTAAAAAGTGTTTTTTAACTGTTTTATTCATCATCATTATATGTGCATTGCACGCACACACAAAAACACCCACTAAGGTTATATTTTCATCCAATCAAATCACAGCTTCCAATGCATCAGTATTCTACCAGCCAACAGAGTATGAGATACCACATTTTTCCAAACAATCTCACTGTCATATTTTCTCATTGGTCGCCGGCCTGAGGTATGAAAAAGATCCTCTGTTCCTATTGGATGCATTTCAAGGTTTTGAATTTTAGATATGGGCTATGGTGTTCTTATAGCAGTAGTGGTAGTAGTAATAGTAGTACCAATAATAATACTAATTATTATAATTATACTTAATAATAATTAGTATTATTCTTAATTTTATTTTAAATCAGATTGGCATGACAGAGAGAGAAATGATGTCTACATGGTTATAGTTGGGGCCCCAGTAAGTTAAGATATCTGAGTGTATATTTCTTTTCTTCTGTAAAGTGTGGTAATGTGTAATTTCAATCTTTTGTATATGTAATTTTTTTTGCAATCTCACGAATGTTTGATGGCTTTCGGTGAGATCAATTTATTGTAGTTTATTTCAATACTAATGTGTCTCTCTCTTTCTCCCTATCTCTACTATGTATAATATATAACGTATAATTATTATTTGTTAGGTTGATCCGCTATACGCTGCGGAATTTATAGAAATCATAAAGAAGTTTGTGTTTTTATTTCTCAAAAAAATATCATTTCCTTAAATTTGATCCTACGAACATCCCCGCCAACGTCAACAATCGTACCATCGCAAAAATCTCCACAAAAATCAACACCCAACCCTAACCACCACCAACAGGTATCCATCAGTTAAATACATCGGCCAGTTACAGCAGCAAGAAACTTGGAATGTGCTGCAAAAGAGTATTGCCCTTATTAACTCATCAATCACGGAGGCAATGTCAAACAGCCTGCTAGAGGCCCTTAGCTTAGGAGTGCCAGCTCTAGCTAGGGTTAACAATTCAAACGAATACGTCGTGAAAGATGGCAAAAATGGTTTCCTGTTTAGGACGCCTTCTGTATGAGGATTTTTCATACAAATTTTTCGTTTGGACTTAATTCGTTTCCTGATTTTTCGTTGTTTTGTTTACTCTGTTATCAAAATTTGTTATTGATCTAGTGATTACTTTATGAAGTTTAAGTAAAATTATTGCAAATAGTAACAAAAACAATGTTACTAGCGATAAATTTGTTATTATTTTCATCCTTGCAGGAGTTCATCACAAAAGCGAGGACACTGCTATTGAATCCTCATATGAGAAACTGCATGTCCTACAATGCCAAAAAATACATTCGCACTAATCACAACCACGCCGTTGAAAAATCTCGCTACAATAAATTAGTTAATTATCTAATCAATAATAACGATAAATATAATAATAATGGTAATAGTGATAATTGTGACGAAGATAATGCTGATGGTCACAGCAATGGAAATGGTGCCTATAGTCACTCTGATGAAGAATAAAATGGTAATAATAATAAAATAATAATTATTATTAATTTTATAAAATATATTGACTAGCAATCATGTGTATATTGATAATATTGATTTTGGCTTATTATTGCGTGACGTTATGTTGTGTTAGAAAGTTTACCTAGGATTATGGCGTACTATTAGTTATCCCATTTTAGATAATTTTAATTCAAGATATTTAATCGTCTATATATATTGATATATGTACCTATAAGTAATATCAGACAGGATGGTCTCCTTTAGAGATATTCTACCGAATTAGACCGCAAGTTATCAGATTGTTGCGTTTATTTTTTCAAGTTTTCCAACTTTCTTAGTTCTTACTTTATTAGCAATCCGATAATTTCGATCGAATTTAAAAATTTACACACACATACACACAGATTATATTTTTATTTATATCAAATCCTGAACGTCAAAACCGATAATTTTTGTTTTTCTTCATTTACCATAGCTCTGGTAGTAATATATTACTTAGCTTATAACTAATATTTATATTATTGCTTCTTTTATAACTGCTTTTGCTCCTATTATTATGGTTCTCTCAATCTATATATATATTTATATATATATAGAGAGAAAGAGATTATATGTGAGATGAAATGATCTTTTATTCAACATTGTATTAGTATTGATTTAGATTTTTACATTAAAAGCCGTCTGATTAAAATCTGAAACCATTTATGTACGTATGTATAAAATTTACTATATATACAGTATATATATATATATATATATATATATATATATATGTATGTGTGCGTATGATTTTGAAATATTTAAAAAATTTTCATTTTATTCCATCACTTTTACTTGCTTGTGTTTTATCTTCCTTTCGGTTTATTTTTCTGAAAAATTTTCAAAATTTTGAATCTCATATACGACGCAACATAGCATGTTATACATTCTTTTTTGTTCAATATACCTTTCATTTACATTATATTACATTCTATTTGGTTATCATCATTATCATTATTTTAGTAAATATAGCTAGCCGTAGGTCGTTAAGCCATAAGAAAATGCTCAATTAATCCATAGTCAAATAAGTGTATACTCATATGTAAGCAAATAAGTACATACTCATATGTAAGCTTTACATATATATTTACTGGTAGATGACCAAATTCTTGACAGTATGTAATGAATTCCACAGATGTATTGTGGATGTATTAAATATATATTAACATACATATCATACAAACATACATACACAACATACATATACACAAAACATGCATTGAATTGCATTAGGAATTAGGAAAATTTATTTTTGCGTAACATGATTTTTACTTTTCCTGACAAATTTCAATTTTATTTATCTTATTCTTGATTTAAACACTGAATTATTATGTGATATTTTGCTGCTTATTTAAAAATATACATTAAAATTTCTTTTTCAAATTTTTCCCCCCAAAAAAAACAAAGACTAAACAAGTTTACATTAATTTTTTGATTTCCGTGATGGGTGATAATAAAACCTTTCGCGATAGTCTGATCCTGCCACTGACAGGATCGCGGCCAAAATACTTCACTTGAATTTCTTTGCCGACTTCTAAGCCTAAGATACTTGGGTGGTCGACCTGTGTTTGGGGTATCGTTGTTGAGATTCACGCGTGAATGTTTGTGTCATGCGATGGTTTTCTAGTCATGTTTTCTAGTCATAGTTTAGTCATTTTTTTTATGTCACCTGACAGTTTATTCATGTTTACGTCACAAATGGTAATTTTGTTTGTTGTTTTTGTCATTGTTTGAATCGCGTGTTTGTTTGTTGTGTGTAAGGTATCTGTCACGTGGTTACTGATGTAGATGTTTATTGAAACTATTGATTTTGTTGTTCATTTGTAACGAATGTTTGCCATTGCACGAATAACGTATTTGTTCGTTGTCACGCTGCTAAAATAGATCTCTCACCTTTTTAGAATCCAACTGGGAATTGTGGATGAGCACCGTTGGCAAGGATGGATGGAGTTGAACCATGGCACCGTACTCTCTAGAATCAAATTATATTTTGTCACTATCAGAAAGTGAGAGTGAGAAAAAAGAGAGATTAAGATAGACAGATAGAATGAACTACACAGATCTAGAGAGAGAGAGAGAGAGAGAGAAATAAAAAAGATGAGAGAATGAAAGAATGAGATAGAAACAGATCATTATCAGATTGAGAGATAAAAGGAAAAGAGAGAGAGGAAGATAAACGAAGACAGAATGAGAAAGAGAGAGAGAGAGAGAGAGAGAGAGAGAGAGAGAGAGAGAGAGAGAGAGAAAGAGAAGCATAGGTTAAGCAACAAACTAACTTAAGTTCGATAATTTTAACTTTGTAGATGGCCCCAAACTCAAGTACGGGCTCTCCCTGTAAAAAAAATGAAACAACATTAATATTATTGGAAATAACAATAATAATAGCACATATTATTATTATTGTTGGTGGTGTTGCTAAAATCATCATTTTCACGACCGTACAACCTCATCAGAAAGCAATTCTTCAATGATGGTTTTAGCTTCGCTGAGTGCCTGCCCGTTCGGTGCAAATAACTGATAGCTTGTCTCATCTATGCTACTTATATCTACGCCTTGGTGATATAATAATAATAATTAAATTGAAATAGTAGTAGTAACTGTTGTAGTAGTAGTAGTAGTAGTAGTAGTAGTAGTAGTAGTAGTAGTAGTAGTAGTAGCAGCAGCAGAAATGAAAATAGTATTATTATAAGAATTTATAACCAGCATCAATAAAAACACGACAGCCACCATCATCACCAGCATAAAAATCATCGTTATCATCAGTACAAACATCGTCACCATCATCACAATCAACATCGTCATCAGCTTCACCGACGTAGTCGAAACCAACCGGTTCTCGCCATGATCATTTTAATATTGGAGCCCCCAACGCCTAACAGTTTGGATCTTTTGTTAGGCGCTACGACTAATGTCTCAATTGTCGGGTGATTATTTTTCTTCTGCTGCCTTGGTTTATCTATGGTCTGTTCCATTATGTTTATTATTCTTTGGTTAGCATCTGTAATTATTTTAAAATATATTATTAATATTATTAATAAACATTTAATAATGATAATAATAACGTACACACGCCACCAACCTATGCCTTTTTTAATGGCTAATGTGATGATGCCAATGGGAATCCCAGGCAATTTAGTATCCATCTATCATTGAAACATGAATGAATGAATGAATGAACGAATGATAGATTGAACGAACAGGAAAATGAATAAAAGAATGAATGATCGAATGATGATAGAGTGAACGAACAAATAAAAAAAACCTGCAAGGCTGTGACTCCATTTTTTGTGCTAGCCAGTTTGAAATCCATATCACCCATATAATCTTCAATCCCCTATAAATTAATTTATGAACCATTAAACATAAATAAATAAATATATAAATATATATATATACATATTACATATTATATATATATATATATATATATATATATAACACATACAAACATGTAAAATTAACACTTTAGCACCAACCATTAAATCGGTGAGGATGACGTGATCAGTGACGTCATTCTTCGACTGGTTGTAATTATTAGTAGTAACGTTACTATTATTATTGCTAGTAGTAGTAGTGGTGGTGGTGGTGGTAGTAGTAGTAGGAGAAGAAGCAGTAGAAGCTTTAACATTACAAATACTTTCACTCCTAACATCACTATCTCCGCTGCCATTCTCTCTCTTATCATCACTATCTTTAATTCCCACATTATCACCCTCCTCGTCGTCAGAATGGGCCCTCCCAGATATAAGACCCATGGCCACACCGGACACGGATTCACTTATGGGAACACCGGCGTCCATCAGAGCAAGGCAGCCACAGCAGACAGACGCCATTGACGACGATCCTGATGGTGGAATGATGATGAAAGCCTTATAAAATGATAGATACACCGATCGTGACGATGATGAAAATGATGATGACGACTATACTATAATGGTACAGATGATAGAGATAATGATGAAGACGATAGCGTTGGTGATTTGAATGACGCATGCACTCCATCAAATTTCATTCTAATTAAATCTTTAAGATTTATCCGACCGAATGAATGTTCATTTGTGAAGAAATTAAGTTGCTATAAACGGGCTTGAAAATGGTAATAATAATAATAACAGTAATAATAATAAACAATAACAATAATAATAACAATAATAAACCATTTGATTCAAAAACTTCTGCAGTCAGCCTGACAGTGAATGGATATGTTGATGGTAATACTGGCCTTAAGCCTTTCTCCGCTAAAGCGCCTATTATTAATTAAAATAATAATAATAATAGTAATAATAATAATAATATATTATTATTATTTATAATTATTGTTTTGTATTTATCAAGTCATTGTTATAAGTTTTTATTTGTTTTTTTTTTCATTGCTTATCTAACTAAGCTTCTAGTAGAAGTGATACAATAAAACAGCAGCTATTGTTGCCACTACTGCTACTACTACTAATAATAATAATAAATCATAATAATAATAATAAACCGTGCCCTAGTTCTCTTCGACCAACGAACCCATGCTTTCCAGTTTCATTGGTTGCAAATGAAGGAAACTGTTATTATTGTTAATATTATTGATACTATTATTATTATTTAATAATAATATTAATATAATTATTGTTTAAAACACCTCACTTCGTAATGTAGAAAAAAGTTTTTCTCTTTAACTCCACTGTGAATAAAAAGAACAAAATCATGAATAATGAAAATAAAAGATACAATAGTACTGTACATAACTGAAAATACTCTACCAGTCAAACAAAACACATCCCTATTTCCCAACCAGACACATCCATATTTCCCAATCGGACACATCCATATTTTCCAACCAGACACATCTCTATTTTCTAATTAGGTACATCCAAAATTCATAATCTGACAAATTTCTATAGACTAATATGACACATTATTATTATCTGTTCAAAAACATCAACATTTCCCAATCCGGCACATCCCTATTTCGTACTCTGGTACGCCCCTATTCCATCGTAATCTGATACATCCCTTTTCCCTAATTCTTATTTCTTACCTGATTAGTGCTGTAATTGGGTCCACTCTTGCGGCACTTTGTGGCGAGTCGAACGTTGTCGTACAGAAGACCTAGAAAATAAATAATAGACTAATAAATAAACCATAGAAATAAAGTATCGTTAAGTACTTGTAAATAATTATCCATAATATTAATCTTTTTAATATAATTTACTTATTTTACAAAATCGCATTTAGAAGATTTAGGAGTAAAAGTCGGATAGCAACCTACAACTATCGAGATTGCATCATCATCAATATCATCTTCATTTTGTGGCAATTATGAATAAAATGACGGTGATGACAATTATTATTATTATACATATTATTATTAATTTATTATTAATTTATCATTATTACAAACACTAGACTACAAACTAACTTGAGTTTGGCCTCTTTGAAAAAGGGCCGAACCATGCAAAGGGTCATAAAGGTTGACCTTGCAAGTTATATCTCGAAGGTCATCTGGGCCCCGGCCATCACATCTGTGTGTGTGCGTTTGAGTGTGTGTGCGTTTGAGTGTGTGTGCGTGTGAAAATTAAACAACATCAATAACAATACAAAAAAAACCAATACAAACAACAATATAAACGCAGCCATCAAAACCACGCCATCATAATCATCATCATCGCCTACATAATCATCATCATCACCTACATCATCATCATCACCGCCAACATCACTATCATCATCATCATCATCATCATCATCATCAACAACCTTCTACGATTAACTAGTATTAAATCTCTAAATATCCTCTTGGCTATCTTGTAGAAGTTATAGTCAAATAACGCCATATCTAGACCCGGTTTCGACGCTGGTTATTTTTATTATTATTTTATTAATGTTTTATTATTATTTAATTCATTATGTCATTTAATTAATTTAATCATTTAATTTAATTATTTAATTCATTATGTCATTCGAAATCTCAACTCTAGGTTTATATAAAATATTTAACTTATCTCTTGTACGCTATCTACTGCGATAGAAATGTGACTTGAATTAATTTTGAAACTAACTAGCTCTAGTTGTACTCATTCTTTTTGGATGAAGAGCTACGTAGATTAAACTAAAACTCTACTTGATATTTTATTTTTTTTTTACTCTTATTTTATTCTACTTGTCAATTTGTTTCATTTTATTGTCATTTTCATTATTTTATAGCGGAATAAAAAATTGTTCTCATTATCATCATCCAGATCATTGTTTGAGCAGCGAGCTGGGACTATTATCTGTATTTACCTTTCAATGTGTTGAAAAGATTTTTTCTTATTGTGTCAGTTGCCTGATCTCTGGATATCTGATTGAATGTGGTTGATTGATTGATCGATTGATCGGCTGAATGGTTGACTGACTGATTGGTTCATTGATTGAGTGAATGATTGAATGGTTGATTGAATGGTTGATTGATTAATCAATTGATTGATTAATTTTAAGGCTCGTAGTTTGATCGTATGAATGTTTAGTTCAATTAGTTCAGCTATTTAGTTTGAAGTGTTGGTTAGGAATGAGCAATTGATTAGTTGGTTGATTAATTGATTAATTGTTCCTTCATCACCATCTTCATCATCATCGTCATCGTCATCATCATCATACTTTGTGATGTGTGTAATCCGTAAATACATTCTTTATATCGTCTGAAGCCAAACTGAAATGAATGAATGAATGAGTGAATGGATGGATGAATGAGCGAACGATCGATGGGACGAACAAAAGAACGAATGAAAGAACGAACAAGCAGACAAAGGAATAAATAAATAAAATAATAAAAAACCATGAAAAAAAAAATAAAAAAACAGCCACCTTTCAATCTCAGCGACTAGAGCGCCATCTACATGATCGTCCCCAGTAACGTTTAAAACTCTTCTTTTCTTGCCAACTTCACTACACAACGAATTAATTCCTTCTATGATGGACTGAGTGTGATGCAGACCTTCAGTTAATGCTTGCAGAAATAACGCTGATGGTACTATGTCACTGGATGCATCTATCATTACTTTTGTTTGTATGTTTGTTTGTAAGTAGGTTTGTTTGTATGTATGTATGTTTGTCTGTTTGTATGTATGTATGTATGTTTGTATGTATGTATATTTGTATGTATGTATATTTGTTTGTATGTATGCATGTTTGTTGTTTGTTTGTTTGTATGTTTGTTGTTGTTTTTTTTTGTCACAGGATACTAAGAATGTTTTTGTTGTTAGGTCATGTTTTGCCATGTTAACTTATAAAATAAAACACATAAACAAGTTAACATACGACCTAACCCTAACATTAAAAACCAACCAGACATGCATACAAACAAACATACATACACACATACATACAAACAAACACACACACACATACATACAAACAAACAAATAAACACGCATACAAACAAACAAACAAACATAGAAAACCAACCAACTCTATCTTTACTGGCGCATGCAACAATCATGTTAAGCCTTCCGTCACTTAGCTGTTTTGTTGTTGGGTTGATGACAATCCTATCATCACTGGTTATGCTCACTTGTACTGCGCCTATTTATTTTTGCATGTGTGTGTTTGTATGTGTGTTTGTATGTGTATGTGTGGTTGTACCTGTATGTGTGTGTGTGTATTTGTGTGTGTGTGTGTGCGCGTTTGTACGCGAGTGTGTTTGTATGTGTGTTTGTACGTGTGTGTGTGTGTATTTGTACCTGTGTGTGTTTGTATTTGTGTATGTGTGCGTGTGTGTATCTGTAACGAAATAACATCTAACCTACTGGTCCATTCCAGGGAACATCAGAACATGAGAGTGCTGCTGATGCTAACATACAAAGAAAATTAATTATTTCGTCTACTCATTCATTCATTCATCCATCCATTCATTCATTTATTTATAAATTAATTAATTCATTCATTCATTCACCAGCAACCTGCATTAATGCATATAGTAGTTGGATCGTACTCGCCGTCGACGGCCAACAAATTGCAGACGATTTGGGTTTCGTTGCTGTAACCAGTTGGGAATAGTGGTCTCAGTGATCTGTCTATGGTCAGTTGGTCAGTGTTGTTGTTTTTGTCACGTGGTTTTGTTTATTTTGGTATGAGTGAATGAATGAATGAATAAGTAAACAAACAAATACAACATATTCATTCGAAATATTTTTAAAATTAGCCCCAAAATAACATAGATGACCTATAATTCTAGATGTTAATATTTCTTTGTCCATATAACCATAATCTCTTCTCAGGTGATTCGTTGGTATTCGACCCGCTGCCGCAGACTTTTGTCTATAATCTACCTTCATGAATGAATGAATGAATGATTGGATGAATGAGTGAGTGGATGAATGAATGAGTGAATTAATGAATTGATAATCTAACGAGTTATTGAATGAATAGTGGAATGAATTAATAAATAAACAAAAATGAATGATTGAGTAGATAGGATAAGCAAGTAAATGAATGAATAAATGAGTGAATGAATGAATAAATGAACCAATAAATAAGTAAATAAATGATAAATGAATTAATCAATAGATGAATGAATGAAAAAATTAGTGAAGAGAGTAATTTAAAATGAATGAACGAAACAACGAACACATACAGTTAAAGGTGTAAATGAAGCATTGTTGTTTGTAGGATTATTTTTGCTGACAACTGTTGTTAAGACACTTGTGTTGGCAAACTATGTAAAATAAAATAATTTTAACATTAAAATTGATTCAAAAATATCATTAAAAATTATAAATGAAAAAATTATATTAAAACTCAGGTGAAACAAGCCATCTATCTATCTATCTATCTATCTATCTATCTATCTATCTATCTATCTATCTATCTATCTATCTATCTATCTATCTATGTATCTATCTATATTTATAATATAATATATTATAAAATAATTAACTATTGCCAACTTTAACTACAGCAGAACCATCTGCAAACCTTGCTAAGCTGCCTGTGTTAACATTTAAAATCCTGAAAAATATAATCCGCATATTAATTAATTTTCCAAAATTTATTTAAAATTTAACATATAATTTAATTTTAATATTTTAATAATAATTTAAAAATTAAAAATTAATTAAAAAAAGTAAAATGTCATTTATCTACTTGTCGGCTACTTTAATATCCCGTGACTTTACATTTTTATTAAATTCCCATGATATGTATCGTCTGGAAGTGGGGACAATTTTATTCACTAATTTCCGTAAACAGCCTAAACTTAACCTGCACCCAAGACACATGGTTTTATTTACAATACAAATAAACGTGCTGTTGAGATTAGCTTGATATGTTTTATTTGACAATAAAATATTGAGAATTTTTCTGGTTTGTTTCAACATAGAAAAACTTTGTTTAAAAATTGCTTTTTTAAGGTTTTAATGCTTTTTTGATGTTATAAAATGTGTAATTCATGTTTTAAATGTTACATTTATTCAAGTTTCATCTTATGTTCGGTTAAATAAAAAAATATTTCAATAAAAAATGAGTATTTCTTAGGTAAAAAATAATATCTTTCAAGATAAAATTCTTCAATGGAGGCTTGGCATTTAGTGAGTAAACTTAGATAATCTTAAAAACTCTAAAGAAATAAGATAGTGATTTACTAAAAAAGCTGAAGAAATTTTCCATGACCAGGTTGTGTTTGTATAAATTACATATTGCATTTCATGGTATTGAGCAGTATTTATTTTTGTGATGTAGTACATAAGTATTGTATTGTCCAGTATATAGTATAGGCATGGATGTCAATATATCGACACATCCATCAGTATAGTACATTTAATATTGCATTAATATACAGTACACTTTGTATAGTGTTTTGCAAAGTGCTTAAAACCTAATCTATCTAGAATGTTCTGGATATTTGATATAATGTTTATAAGAAAAAAAGAAGATGAATTAACTTGCATGTTTCAAATCACACACACCATGCATACACAAACACACACACACACGCACAGACTCACACACTTACACACAAACATAGGCACAGACTTAATTTGTAAACCATGTTTATATGTATATAAATTATATATGTAATATATAAATGAATATATATATACATATATATGTATTATATATATATATATATATGTATATATGGCCCCAACTTCAAAATAAAAAATTAAAAGAAAAACCTGAGATTTAGTTTATAAGAGCCAGTCATAAACTGAAGTTTTACCAATATGCAAGCTTGCAACTATTAGTTTAACGTTTTGTTTTGAACATTTTTTTCCATGGAATTATATAATTCAATGATGGCTTCAGTAAGCCCCCGCATTTCACCATAATGATTTCACCGGACAAAAAGCGATTTTTATATTCAAATTGACAAAAATAATTTAATAACACATAATTCTAAATAAAATTACTACATTGTGTTAGACATATTAAGTCAAGTAAATATTTCCTATAGCGTTAAAATAAAACCCATGCAATTTTGTAAGTAAGCCAATAAGCCAACAATCCAGGCAAGTCAAATAGCCAGACCCAACCCGATTCGTTGTTGATGAACTGAAAAATCGTTGATGAAAATTCGTTGGTAACATTACCTCCGTTGGTCGTTAAAAGATTCAAAAATGTTTTCCTACTATTTTAAATAAATTATAATTAATAAGTTATTATTGTGATGAATAAAATTTAATTATATCATTTCATGTTATGAACTGTAGCACAATAACATAGCAGCAATATAATGAACGATCACGATCAACAACAGTTTCAACATTTCTGCTGCAAAGAGAATGTTGAAGATTGCCTGAATTTTTTGAATGAAGATCTCGTGTCGATAGGGATGTACGCGTTATTTGACGAGGTGCGAAATTTTCACGTTTCCAATCTGATCAATGCCACTTACGAACTTGTGCAGAGGTGCAAACGAGATGCCTCGGCCAAAAATTTATTAGAGGAAAGGTTGGTCATTGTCACAGGTTGCTTGTTCTACTAAATAGATATTAACCACGCATAAGAATAATTAGTGATGAGCTATCTTTGTTTATAAATTTAAAATAAAAATATGTAATAAACAAATATAATTAACTGCAAACTAAACCAGTACAAAATTATAAAATTTACAAAACCATTCACCTTTTTTATTTAATTGCATCTCAGTAAGCACAGAGCAGTCTGTGAGTTGGAGCACGTGAGGAGTGAGAAGTTTCGCCTGAAAAGCAAGATTGATGGCCTGGAGAGGGAGCTGAATGCCACAAAGAACAAGCTGGACATCAGTGAGAGAGAGTGCATCACCAAGGAGACCAAAATCAAATCAGAAAGAGAAGAGGTGATGGTGATAATGATAACGATAGTTATTATGATGATGATAATAGTGATGATGATAGTTTTCATCTTATTCAGATTCGCTGCCTACAATCAACACTGCGCAGTAGAGAAGTGCAGCACAAAAAAGCAACAAAAAAGTTGGAGAGTGAGTGCAACAAACTGAAGGAACGACTGAACAACATCATGGTTGAAAAAAATGACAAAAAAAATGGTGAGAATAATAATGATGATAATGATATGATGTTGACGATAATAATGGCTCCGCCGGTGATGATTGCAAGTAACGGTGATGACGATGATCACAGTTATTTATAACAGTGAATAACTTGGTCAGGCTTTTGTTAAGAAATTATCTTTTATAAAAATAAATTATCTAACTGACAGATAAAATCATAATTCTACAAAAAATTAATTAATTGACGAAGAGAAAATAATAATTCTACAAAGAATGATGATAATGTCCTACTAAGTGGATTCATCGTCACCATCTCATCATTACTATTAACATTGTATTATTGTCAGATAATATTTTAGCCAACATTATCAAATCAACATCATCCGTGATATCATGTTTTCATTTAGTTGTCACAACAACCAGCATAATCTTCATTATCACCAATCATTACCACCAATCACACAAATCATTATCACCAAAAAGGAATCACCAATCATTATCACCAATCATTATCACCAAATAAGGAATTGCCATATCGAATGCACTGCTAAGGAAGGATGGTAGGAGGGGTAAATGGAGAGATGTTGAAAGGTGAGAGCCTGGGTTATGATGATGATGTAGGTGTTGAGAATGATGATGATGTAAATGTTGATAATGATGATGATAATGTAGATGTTGAGAATGATGTTGAGAGTGATGATGATGCTGGTGATGACAGACAGCAATCATGCTGTTTCAATCATAAGGCTGGTTGAAATAATTTTTAGTGTGTTATTTTTTGTCATCGAATTATCATTGATATTATGAAGATGGATTATCATTGTCGTCATCACTAACATCACCATTCAGTACGACATCATCCAATGCGGATGAGATGTACAGAGATGTAGTGATGTCTTACGAGAGGAGAGCGGTGGGAATGTTGAATGAGAACCAAACGCTGAGGAAGGACGTGAGGTGGATGATCGAGGCACTCCACGACATCACCAACAAAATCACCAACAACAACATCACCAACAACAACAACATCCACTACAACAACACCAACGTCATCAACAACAATAACATCTTTGTTGGTAACATCGGCAACAACAACGTCAATAATAACAACAAAAACATTAGCAACAACAACAACAATAACATTAATAACAACAACTACATCAACACCCCATATTGCTTCAGTGGCACACAACTAGCTGATGATGATAATAAGCGTAATGATAATGGTGGTGGTAAAAATTTCAAGGTTTTGTTTTGTTGCTTGATGATTTGTTGTTGTTGTTGTGGCTTGTTGCAGATTGTGTGGCTTGTGGCTTGTTGATGATTTGTTGTTGTTGTTGTGGCTTGTTGCAGATCGTCGTTCTGCTCTTTCATGCTGTGTTGTATCTTTCTTACTATGTATGAAATTTGTGTGCACAAGGAGATGATGAAGATGTAATAAAAGTGTCGATGAGGATGATGATGAGGGTAATGATGATGATAATGATGATGTTCCTGGGGACTTGTGGTGATGATGATGATGGTGAAGTTGAACTGGGTAGCATTTATTTGCGAAATTTGCACAGTTATGTGAGGGTTGATGTTAGCCGTGACGAATGAAGCTCATGTTGGTTGCTGCTTTCAATATTTTTCTTATTATTTTCGTTTTTTTTATTATTATTATTATTGTTGTTATTGTTTTTGTTTAATTTCAGGTGAAAAATAAATTTATTATTCCAACGACCATTCAAAGTGGTTAGCAGTTGTTGATGTTGTTGTTGTTGTTGCTGATGTTGTTGCTACTGATGTCATTCCCGTTGATGTCGTTGTTGGTGTTTTTATACTACCAATTCTTAACAATTGTGGCAATAATAATAATTATTATTATTATAATATTTATTAATCATAAAAAGGTGCATTCGAGATGCCGTACATGATGGTGAGGGGCGGGATGATGGAGGTCGTCGAGGGACACCTCAACGTCATCATCTCTCTCCTAGCAGGTTTTTCTTTTTTGTAAGAATGATGTGATGATGGTGGTGGTGGTGGTGGTGGGGAATACGATGGTGATGACAGTGGGTGATAATGATGATATCCATATCCAAATAATATCCATTTCATTATCACAGTTTGCTGTGAGTATTATAATATTCATCCTCATCTGCAATAGGTAAAGATAAGACACGCGATAAAAATGATGACATACGACTCTATCCGCCTGCTCCACAACATTCCCCGCCTAGATCATCATCATCGCCGTCATCATCATCATCATCAGTACCCACTACATCATCATCATCATCAGTGCCCACTACATCATCATCATCAACGTCATCATCATTATCATTGCTGGCACCTTTGTCATCATCACCGATGAACACGAGGCACATCATATTCGATTACAGTCCTTGCAAGGTTAGCAACCTGTCTGCTGAAATGGAAGAGATTATGATATATAAAAATAAAAAATAGTCATCAAATCATCTTTCTCATCGTCATCGTCATCTCGATAGCCACTTCAATTATTGACGTCATCATCGTTATTATCTTCATCACCACCACCACCACTAGATAACATCCCCAATTAAAAGAGCATCATCATCAAGACCGCAGTCTGCCGTGTCCTACAGAGGTTATAATACCTTGTTTAATTCAGTTGCTATCGTGATGGTGCCGATAGTAGTGATAGTGGGAATGATAGTGATGATGATGATGGTGATGACGATGATGATAATGATTAATAAGTACAATCACTGTATTGATAGAAGATTCCGTATATTTAATTATTATTTCTAAGGGACGAATGTCGTAAGGTTTTGCTGTTGTTGTTATTGGCAGTTAGTGTTCTCTCTTCAATTTTTTTCTGGTTTTCAATTTCTTTCCAAACACCATGACTGAAGAAGCCAAACAGAGTTCAGACTGCAACAAATTCTACTCTGCAGAAACTGGTACCTTAAAGCTCCCTTCCACTAATCACCGATCTAGCCTCGGGTACCGCCATTGTGTGATTCGCGGCAGATTCGTGGCTGATCTGAAGCAGCCTCTCTATGACATTTTTCCTATCCACTTGCACACATCACTAAAATAACCCGAAGCTATAGATACCATTTTGAGACTTACAGGTCCACACAGCAGTCTTGTGAAATAATTTTTTGATTCACCAACAACCAATAGCAGAGTCCTTCTTGACTGTAGTGTATTGCATGTCTAACCTAACATAGACGGTGATGTATTGATATAATAAGGTTAACAATTCAGTAACTCATTACTAAAGTAGTTTTTTTTTGTACGAGTACTAATGTCGATTGCTGGCGATAACAACACTGATCAAGATGACAATGAAATTCAATTCTCCAGGGGGTCCTTGCGCAAGAAGCCACAACCCTGGCAAGCACAAAACAACAACAACATCTGCTGCTGGCACTTCTGCTTCCGGAACATCCTCATCTCGGCCTCCGCCACCATCAACAAATCATCTCACTCATCGTCATCACCGTCGTCATCATCATCAAAATGGCAACATAGAAGCCAGCGATGACGTCATCAGTGACGTCATGGGTAGTGGTGACGAGGATGATAGCAGTAATAATAATAATAATAATGGCAATAATAATATTAATAACGTTGGTTGTGATGATGATGAAGACGAGTTTTCAAAACCAAAGAAGATGGTTAGATCTCTCAGTTACGTCATGTTAGTTTTCTCTTTAATGCATTCCATTTGTTCACTCGTTCATATCTCTAATGTAATTCCTCTGTGTAATTCCAGATTGAAGCAGAGTTTCAGTGGTGGTGGTGTCGGGGCTGATGAGCATCAGGCCACTGAGGATGATGAAAAAGATTCTGTCGAGTCTTACGACGGCGATGGAGGAGATGACGACTATCTCGTTGGTGGCGGGGCCGACAGCGGGCTGATCAGAGATAGTTTTAAGAAGGAAAATAAAATGATCACTAATAATATAGTCAATACCGATAACTACAACGACGGCGTTAAGAACAGTACATTTACCGTGAGTAGCGTTGATCATGATGACGACACATTCGCTATTGATGAGGTCGGTAGAAATGCTGGAGGAATCAACACACTGGACGATGTATCGTCACATTTATCAGCTAACATTTCAATGGAGGAATCTTTTTCAAAGTACCTCACAGAATCATGCAAGCAATAGTTCCGCTGACGGTAACTCTTGCGCAACTGATTACAATGAAAATGTAGTTGTTAGCCTGACAATGTGCCTTCACAAATCAACTAAATATTTTAGTTGTTTTTCACACCAACAGATATTTTTCCAATTTATTTCATCTACTAAGTATTTAATGATGCATTTGAGCTTGATTTTTATTTAATTTATTTGACACTGACGTTTAGGCGTTTACATAATATGCCGACGATTTCATGTTGTAGTGACGTACTGTGGTGTCTGTCGGACTAGAACTTTTATTTTGTATATTTATTTTTTTCAGTTACACACACAACACACACACACACACACACATATATATATATATATATATATATATATGTGTGTGTGTGTGTGTGTGTGTTTGTATATATGTGTTAGTATCTTAAACTGATTACTTTTGCTAGCTCAGCACTTTCAGACGAGTTAGCAATAAATGTGAGCACAGTTTTGTTCAATAATTTTGATGTTCATCTTAGTTTGGCTATTTTTTGAATCTTGTTTTTACGTTTGCATGTCTCGATAACTTTTATACTCTGCTGTTTTTGCATAGGTGTTTTGCTCGCTTCTTAACTTCGTACAAGTTTTCTATACATTAGCAGTTAGCAGGTTTCAAAAACACTTCATTAAAATATTAAATTCAGGCGATTATAATTTTTAAGAATTAAGACGGTCCTCATAAGTTTCTAATCGTAAACTAATAACATTTGACTTTTATTTGTTAATTTTATTTATTTAATAGTTCGCTGAGCGATTATTATAGCCATTTTTTGAACAGCTGCAAATTTAAAGCATCGCCGTGATTTGATGTTACCTGGCATAACCTTATTTTGACTAACCAATTAAACTTAAGAAAGCCCGACTAAACGTTTCTTATTGGCTGTTTAAAATGTCGTGTTTATACTTTTATGGTTTCAGAGTTTGCTAGTTTTTCGCAGCTTATTTTTGCAGTTTTTTCAATTTATTTATTTCAAAGGAAAATAAAATAAATCAAAATGAGCATATGGCTGATAATTATTTCTACGTTACTCACGTTGGCTGTTTTTTGCATAAAAAACTTCGGGTACTTTATAGTAAATTTCAGATGGTTCTTCGCGATATTCTTCTTGATGCCAGCCTCCTTGATCTACAACATATTTTACTACGTGAGATCTCGCCTGGTTTTCAAGCTCAACACTGCACCGACTAGACACCACGAGAAAGTTTTGAATGTTCAGCGCCAGGTAAAAATTAAACTTGATTTCATTTAATTAAAAAGTGAAATTTGTATTTAATTTAAAATAAATTTATATTTGTGTATTCTGCATTGGTGTTGTATCAAGACTTGGTTTTGTGAACCTTTCATCATTGCTGTGATATTTTTCTTCAGTACAATATTTTTTTTGTACTAAGTAAATAAGAGGAGATGAATTGTATCAGTTTCCAATGTGTCTTTGCTTTGACACTCTTTTTATTTATTTTTATTCATTATACTTGTGGTTTGTTAAACATTTATTTAGGTACTAGAATGGAATAAGAGTGGCAAACAGACTTTAATGTGTACAGGTAGACCAGGTTGGAAAGCGATGAGCATACGTGAGGCTCGATACAAACTCATTTACACAAACATCCATGTTGATTTGATGGATGTTCTTGAAGTTGATGCAGAAAAGAAGTCAGTCAGAGTTGAACCATTGGTCAGCATGGGGCAGGTGACAACACATCTCAATTCTATTGGATGGACCTTGCCTATTGTGCCTGAGCTGGATGATCTGACAATCGGTTGTTTTAACTAAGATACAGCCAACAACTTATTCAAATATTGCTTTCATTATTATAATTTTTCTTGCCATCATCATTTGTCAGGTGGACTAGTGATGGGAGTTGGCATAGAGTCATCATCACACAAGTATGGTCTCATGCAGCATTTACTCATTTCTGCTGAAATTGTTCTGTCAGATGGATCTCTAATCAAATGTTCCCAAGTGCTTTTGTTTATTTTTGTACCTTGTTGTAATGATAAAATTTAACCAAAAGCACTAAATAAGATAAACATAATTTTAACACCTCAGTTGGAAAACTCAGATTTGTTTAATGCTCTGCCTTGGTCCCATGGAACATTGGGCTTTTTGGTTGCTGCTGAATTAAGAATCATTCCTGCAAAACGTTATGTCCGAATTCATTATAAACCTGTGCATTCATTCAAAGAAATAATTGAAACATTCACCAAAGAATCACAAAACCAGAAAAATGATTTTGTGGAAGGACTGGTATTCTCTCCCAATGATGCTGTCATCATGACAGGGACTCTTACTGATTCACTTGGTCACGATCAGGTAATCAGATTTCAAAAGTTTGAACTTCTAAATATTTTGATTATATTGTATTAGTTTCTTAATTCTCAAGTTCGTATTTATAATTCATTAGGCTACGACGTTTTTTACTTAATAGCAGATTCTACCTGCTGTAATCTTTTGTACTTTAATTTATTTGATTAAAATTATAAAATTAAAATTTGGAATAGCTCAATGAGATAGGAAGATACTACAAGCCTTGGTTTTATAAACATGTGGAAACACTTCTAAATAATGGCCCAAAAGTTGAATGTATACCTCTAAGACAGTATTATCATAGGCATACAAAAGGATTGTTCTGGCAGATGCAGGTAACTCACCATTAAAAAGTTATTAACGTCATGATCAAATATTCTATCAATTCAGGATATAATTCCTTTTGGAAATAATCCAATTTTCCGGTACATATTTGGATGGATGGTGCCACCTAAAGTCAGCTTCTTGAAGCTTACTCAAAATAAGAGCATAAAAGATTTGTATGAAAAACATCAGATTATACAGGATATGCTTTTGCCTATCACAACACTGCCGCAAGCACTTGAATTTTTCCAAAAAGAGCTTGAGGTATGAAACCATGAGCAATTTTTTTTTATGAATAGTAATTAATATTAGCAGCCGCTAAATATTAAATTATAGAATACCATAATTTCATAGCTCAATTAAGCTGTGGACGACCATCTCATACAAAAATTTAAAATAATTGTAAAAAAACTGAAACTGCCCCACTTTAACCCTTCCTGTAATAACAAATTGATGACATAAAATTGAATAAGTTAAAATTGTTTCCATGCTACCAAACGACTAGATATATCCCCTTTGGTTATGTCCATTTATTCTTTTTGATGGTTCGGGATTCGTTCATCCTAAAACAAAAGAAGATCAACTTTATGTGGACATAGGAGCATATGGGGCTCCAAAAATAAAAAATTACAATTCGTACGAAGCCCTGAGAAAACTGGAAAAATTTGTACTCTGCAACAACGGGTCGGGTTATATATCCTTATACAACTTGTTTTAATGAATAATTTAACACAGTGATATATTTAACACATATTGATCGTTTTAATCGTTTGTTATCAAAGATTTCAGATGTTATATGCCGATTCTTATCTGACGCGAGAAGAATTTCACCAAATGTTTGACCACAGACAGTACGAACAGATGAGAGCTAAATACAAATGTGAGAATGCTTTCCCAGAGGTCTATGACAAAGTCAATAGAAAAGCCAGATCATAACATTTATTCACATTTGAATTTTGGCTTAGCCATCTAAGTGCTCCATCCGTAGACTTGATATAGTATAGTTTTTATTAAACTCAGCTTTGCAATAGACCATACATATTTGTTGGTCTAAAAATCTTGTAACAGATGTTCTTATAACTTCCCATTGCCTGACTAAGCTGACATTTCGTTTTTGCATACTCATTTTCGACGACAACGTATACAAGCTGAATTCCTGTATATTCGTTATTCCCGACATATATTTACATAAATTAACGAACACTTTAGCAAATAAACCTTAAATATCAAAATGTGTCTTAAATTTGCAACCAACAGGCAAGATGAAAGAAAGAGTGCTACGATACATGTATATGCGAGCGTAGTTTTTAAAAAGGTTTGCTAGCTTGGAGATGAATTCCCGCCAGACATGCTAGCGTCAGATTTTATTTTGCAAGTAAAAAAACACTAAAAACTTGTAAAAAAGTTATTTTATTAATCCAAAAACAAGAATTTTCAATCTCAATCGACAGAAAGTATTTTGGTAACTAAATGCAGTCATCAAAATATATAAAAATAAACTTGAAAATAAAAATTAAACAAACCTTAATTTAATTTAACCTTGGTATTATTGAAAAATCTGTCAAATCTGTTTCATAAAAAAAATAAGCTGTTGAGTTTTGTAAAATTTATCTAAACTTTTGATCGAATTGATGAAAATCTAATCTAATAAAATTTATCTAAACATACTTTTGAAGTCAAATTTAGAGTTGATGTTATCTACAGGGGTATAGTAAACAAGTGGATCATCAGAAAAATTGAGGGCTATGAAAGATGACGAGTCAGGGTCACCAATCTCTTCTTTATTTCTTATGGAAGGGCATTTCCCAACAAGAATAATTAGAATTATTGTTCAAAAAAAAAAATCTAAGCACATTACCTAACGTCTTTTTTGCTAGCAACGTTCCCAGGACTCCTATTTTTAAAAGAATTTTCAGATCTTTTCTGCTTCCTGCGAACATGCCTCATTGGACAGTTATTGGCCAAAAAACAGGAACCAGTTTGCGAAAAGTCAGGACACACTAAAATGTGCTTTTTCTTACACTGAATTGGACAAAAACTTCCATCTTTTACCAGGAACGGTAACATACGAAATTGCATTTAAAACTTATGATCATTCTGTCTACTTTACAGCTTGGAACTTTCGTAATTATTCTAATGATACTGTTAAAAAATGAATTCTTAACCAAATTTATAACAGATCAAAATAATTTCACTATGACAAAATAGAACTGGACAGTTAGAACTCTAAATTAATATAAAGAATTAGACCTGATCGCCCATTGAGCAATGTCCGGCTAGAAAATCTCTGCATATCTCGGCTGACTGTCCCACATTGACATGGTTGTAAGGGCAGTTAACTCTCACACACATCCCCCTTAGATAATGTATGCATGTAGGCATTTTATCTTTTGTTACTTTGTGAGAAAATGGACAATTGGTTATTGTACACGATCCTCTAAGAAACCTGATTGATTTTTTAATTTATGACATAACAATGAAAGTTTAATTTAAGTAGTGATATATTTTTAAAAAAAGAAGCTGATGTTAAATAAAATTGGATATGGATATTTTTCAAAACATTTAGAGATAAATGTTTATATCGCATAAGCTCTTGAAAATTGTGGTGGGGCATTTTGATCAGTGTGTCGGAGTCAGATGAAAAAATCCAACTCTATGGACAACTGTAAAATGTAAAATTGTTTAAAACCTGGTGCAAACAGAAACTTTCTCTGGGTCATGCAGGTCTGGACACTTGGAACCTTTGTGGCACTTACCAAATTTGTTGTAAATCTTGCAATATTTATTTGGCTTTGTCCAAAAGCATCGCCAGCTTCTGTTAATTAGCCGACTGAAACAGTGATGATAGATTTAAAAAAATAAAAATTTACAAAACAGCGTACAACAATCTATAAATGAAAAAAAGCTGTAACTTATATACAGACCTTGCTACTTGCTGTTTAGCTAAAGCCTTTGGAGTTGAAACATTTCCTAAATAATTGTAAATTTAAAGCATAATTTACAAAAATTTTGATTTGATATTTAAATTAAGAAAATAGGAATATTTGAAAATATGAATAAAAACAACAACTAGAAAATGATGGCGACTGTGAAGCAAATCTGTTTAATCTTGATCTTCTCGGATATGAATTATTTGGCACATTTCTATTTATCAATTTATATCTGTTGACACTTCGAATTACCCGGGCTAAAAAATGGCAAATAGTTAGGAGCAAAAATTTAACATTAATCCACTTTGTAGTAATAATCCTACCATATAAAATTCAAGTGTATCTTTTAGTATTCTAATCAACATTATCTTTAAACATTAGAGAAAAATAAACAACTAATCAGCTACTAACGATGTTCATCTCTTCTTAAGGCATATCTTGATGTAAAAGCCTTGATTCTTTGATATTTTAACGTTGGATAAGAAAAACTAAAAAGATTGAAAATTATATCAAATTATATTTCAGTTCATAAAAAGCATACACAACTTAAAAAACATACCTTAATGCTTCAAAAGGCAACCTAAAAGTGTCATGAGAGTGTTTAAAATTCACTTGATTCATGCTTTTCAAGGTATTGGTTTTATAGTTAACATTATAAAGGTTATTTATGGTAAATGGTGCAGTTGAAGGTGTATAATAGTATGCATTATTATGGAATGCTTTATAATTTAATTTTCTTGAATTGATGCAGTTGTTGCTTGCTCTGGGAGATTTGTAAGGCGAAAATTTGCCAAACTGCCCTTTCAGTTGTTGAACTTTTTCTAAATGATTAATAATTATAAATTAAATTGCAAATAGTTTAATAATGGCATGCTTCTGACATTTTGTTGATATAAAAAAAAAAATTTTAAATTAATATAATTAAATAATAGTAGAGTGGGTAAATGAAAAAAAGAAATTTAAATTTTTAAATTTTCGCCTTTTCCTTAATTTTAATGAAAAGAAACATACAACAGTTTAATTAACTTAACATCATACTTCTTTTAACGTTAACAGACAACCATAATGGTCGATAAAACAATCATTATTAAATAAAACGTTAACTAACATTTTAACCACCTAACGAATCGATGCTTTTTTAAATATTGCACAATTCATTATACATCGACTCAAACAAAAACACTAAAAAACTTACTGGAATATAATTCGTATTCTTTCATCAGGTCCTCCATCTCCCGATTAGCCATTTTGAAATGAATGACGAGGATGAAAATAAATTTCCAATATCTCCAGTTATGTTTATGTTACCAAAGACAATGCAGTGAAGCTTTTAAATATACCCTAGGTGTAGTTACATTCAATTACACATAAGAATTGATGTGAAGCACTTGTCGTAACTCGTTCCATGTATATGATTTGAATTTGATCTAGAAGAAGCGTCTAGTCTAGAAGCGTTGTAGTCATAGTTATAAAGGGATAGTTTTCTGTATCCATAGTGTTGTAGTCATAGACATAACTAGTTTTCTATATCTATTTCTGGTACTCTCTACCTCCTTCTCTAACTAATTTTCTTTCACTTACGATGTTCAGAGCGGATCTCAAGTCACATCTGTTTGTAAAATTCATTGGGGAGTGCTGTTGAACATCGCGGAAATGACGCCATAGAAACTAGTTGATTGATTAAAGTCATTTTATTTTATTTATAAGCCTTTGGAGCTGTCCGTAAAGAATGTCCATGTCACTCTTTTTGGCTATTTGTGGACTTCCACCGTTTCCTGTCACAAAATAGCACTAATTTTAACCTCCCCATTTAAAGCATGTCACAAAATTTTGATCCCACTTGAAAGTTACCGTTTAATAGGTTTTAGCTAAACGATAGGGTTTGTAAGAGTGCTACTACAACGGCGACGAAATATTGAATAGTAGCGAGTTAGCTGTCGAAAATAAATTTAGAGTAAAAAAGTTTTAAAAACTCAACGTTAAGGATCTATAAAAAAACATATGAATCGTTCGGTCGTAAATCAATTGGTTTACAATGTGGAAAGGTTTTAAAAGCAATGATTTAAAGAAAGTTTTGATTGAACATCATTTTTATAATTGTATTTGAACGCCATTAACTGATGAAATTGCTTCCAACATCTTGAAGTCAGGGAAACAATAAAATTAATTTGAGTGAATTTTTTTTTAATTTGAACATGTATTTTGAAATATTGTCAACACTGCATCGGATTAAAATCTTGTAATTTTTTGGTTAAAAATAATTTTTGGAATTTCAGAAGTTTAAATTAAAACCTTAAAAGTCACAGTAAATAAAGTAAGTAATAAAAATTGTTGTATTACTCTGAACTAATGGTGAATGTTAAAAAAATAGAAATTAAAAATTAATTTCAATCAACCGTTTGATAATTTAATTAATAAAATAAATAATTACAAATTAACTTATTAGTTGTAAAAATCGTTAACAGTAAATAAATCCAATTAAGAGAATGCGCTTTGCTTTCGCGGTTGATGCTGTGGTCGTTGTGGTAGCTACCGAGAAGGTTGTTGTTGCTGAGAAGATTGTAACCACTTGGGAGCGCTGTCAAGTTCATAAAAGTATACAATTTAGATTTCCAATTAGAACAAAATGACAAAAATTTACATGAAAATATTTCGAAAATATTGTTCCAAATCATTAAATAATTAGTTATTATTAACGAATCAAATTTATAACTCTAAAATTACAAACGACAGTCTCGTGTAAAATGAATGAAGATTTAATCAATTTTACGAAGCTGCCATCATTCAACATATACTAAAAAAAATAATCTGTAGTTATTGTTATAATTATTTATATTACTGCCATTATTATTATTATTATTATTATTATTATTATTATTATTATTATTATCTGTGATAAATTTAAAATGATGACCGGTAAATTTTTGTTTGAGGGCCACGTTGGCAGCGGACGAGTTGATGAGGTTAGTGGCCACAAAATGGAACTTCGTGAAGTGGATGTGACGAATTTGACGAATAATTAGACGTAGTTTGAGCATTTTTGGTCCCAAATTCTGTGAAACGTGAACGTGATTGATTTCTTGACTGGTTAATTTTGTTAAATATTTTTAGGTTCATCTAAATTTTGGTGAAATCATGCATACAAAATATTATCTGGAATACAGGCTGTACAGTTTAACATGAAACATTGCCCATAAAAGAGAGCGCACAATTTTCGTTTCTCAACTGAAGTTAAAATTAGATTCGGACAATTTCTTAACTGTATGGAAATTTTTTATGAATAAATAAAAAGATAAAAATTTATTCAATGTAACTATTTCTGTAGCTATAATTTTTTGTAAAAATTTTGGAAGATTTTCGGCCATTTCGATTGTTCACGGTCGTTTTTGCGCTTTTAATTTTGACAAAAAAATGTGAAAAATCCGAGGCAGAAGAATTTTAAAATATTTTTCTTAAATGATTGTGAAATAAATTAATATGCGTTACAAGACATTTTTCTAAAAAAAAATTATTTAAAAAAACGGAGGCGTATTTTTATAAATTCGGTGTAACAAACAAATCACAAGAGCTACTTCATCAATTCTCTTCCTTATAAGATCGTGCGTGTTTCATTAAATGATTGATGTGGATGTTCCATATTAAAGATGATTTGTAGGCATCTGCGTCTCGAAACGTTATTCACTGAGATAATTCTTTACATCATTCTCCTCTTCAATCGAGACTTCATGACGATACAAAATTTCTTCAATTGTTGTTGACGCGATACAACTTTTGAAAAATCTTCAATCGAAATAAAAAATACTTTCGTATCGTTATGGAGTCTTGAGAGAAAATGTTGTATTATTTTTTTTTAGTTCTGTTCACAGTGATCATCTGATTTCTGTTCATTAACATTGTTCAGGGTTGAATCGGGATCTCATGTTGAGATATTGTTGCATTGTAATCGTTACAAAATTGTCATTTCTTACTCTTCGAGACAAAATTACGATGCCTTATATATCGTCTCAAAATAATAACGAGACGCAGATGCCTAATAGTTTGTTTGCAAATTAAATAAACTGCTTTGTTGATTGATCAATAATTAATTATTGTATAAAATGGTTAAACAACCGCTAACTATTTCTTCCAGTTTGATATCATCTTTCGCGTTATTGAGATTCAATCTGAGAAACAAAATTAAACGATAACCAATTAAAAAAACATAGTTTAAAATCCAGATCAAATAAACATATTAAAATAGATTTTCTGGTAAATATTTTATTCATTTGCATCAACTGTAGAGAGAAGCACATACACACAATATTGATAAAAACTCGATTAGAGAGAAGAACGTCGTTTGAAGCAAACCTATTTACAGGGAGGTGACCTGCGTTCTGCCACCAGACCAACACGTGATACGGTCTCGGGTTGAAGGTCAAAGTGCACTCGATGACGTAGTTGTGCGTGTACAACTCTACTGACGTTAGTTTAGGGCAGTTGAAACGAGGAGCGTCTGATTTAGATTCAGTGTTATAATTTATTATCATCAGTAACGTTGATAATGTGATCATAAGCCTATATAAAGACAGAAGCACAATCCAACAAATTCTGATGTTGAGACTGCTGATGGAAGATGCAAAAAGTAGCGGTCAGACAATTTACCATTGCTTTGTTGATTTTAAGAAAGCGTTTGATTCTGTCTGGCATAAAAATTTATGGGCAACATTAGAAAGTATGAGGGACATCAGAAAAGCTGGTCAAAGTACTGAAGGGCTTTATAAAGAATCAAAAATGTCGGTAATAATAGGTACAGAACTTGAGGATTGAATAAAGGCAGACATTGGAAGCAGGCAGGGCGATCCAATATCACCAATACTATTCATAACATTGTTAGAAAGACAATGAAAAAATGGAAAATTCGGAATTGGGTGGAATTAACATAGAAAGGAGAACTGTCAAAGATCTCAGATTTGCAGACGATATAGACCTTCTAGCTTCCAGTGAAGAAGGTCTAAAGAACTAATTGAACTAACACATGTTGGTGGAAAAGATCCCGGGTTGCATCTCAACAAAGACAAAAGGAAGGTGATGATTACGAAGAAAGGGAGAAACAATGCGGAATTTCAAATAGAAAAACTTGAACAAGTAGACCAGTTTGTTTATCTTGACAGTCTTATGACCTGTGACAACAACTGCACTAAAGAAATTGACAAAAGGATAGCAATAGCCCATGGAATGTTCGCATCATTGAAGGAAATATGGAAAAAGTGGAAATATATCTATAAAAACAAAGTTGAGAATGATAGAATTTTGCGTTTTTCCGAAAAGAGACAAAGACAGACTAAAAGCATTTGAGATGAAGTGTTACCGAGGGAAGACAGATTGATTAAGATGGTACTAATGAGGAAAAGAGATTGGAAGAAAAAAGTTGGTAGACCTGTAAAGAAATGGTTAGATGACATTACTGAATGGACTGGTGTTGGTATTCTGAATTCAATAAAACTGGCCAACAATGGAAAAGGTTTTTGGAAAGAAAAAAGAAAAGAAATGTAAAAAGCATGCTTAGATGTACACCATTGGCCTCGATGGTTCCCTGATGGACAAAGGAGGATAATTGATTGATTGGAGCCTTTTTATATCATTACAGCTATCACGTCATCGTTGTCAACAATTACATCATTCCTAGTATACATTACAACAATTATGAATTATCAATGTCAGTATTAATGTCATCAGCCTCATTTGTATTATCATCGTTACATCGTTTGTACCATCATCATTACATCGTTTGTATTATCATCATCATCATCACATCATTTTCAAGGCCATCATTGTCATCGTCTTCATCATCATTATCATCATCATAATCATCATCATCATAATCATCATCGTCATCATTCCTCTACAGAACCTTACATTTGACGTTGAGAATTATAGCACGACTCATCATTGAGACGATCTTATTGTTGTTGTTGTTGATGTTGTAGTAGTGGTAGCTATTGTTGTTAACGCTGACGCTGTTGAAACTTTATCTTCAATAAGACATTGTAGAATCTACATCCGATAATTCATTTGTTTAATCATTCATTTATTTCTCCTATCAATCAATCAATCAATCAATCAATCAATCAATCAATCAATCAATCAATCAATCAATCAATCAATCAATCAATCAATCAATCAATCAATCAATCAATCAATCAATCAATCAATCAATCAATCAATCAATCAATCAATCAATCAATCAATCAATCAATCAATCAATCAATCAATCAATCAATCAATCAATCAATCAATCAATCAATCAATCAATCAATCAATCAATCAATCAATCAATCAATCAATCAATCAATCAATCAATCAATCAATCAATCAATCAATCAATCAATCAATCATTCATTTGTTCATCCGTTTATTTCATCCGTTCAGTTTATTGTTCACTCACTCACTCACTCACTCACTCACTCACTCACTCACTCACTCACTCACTCACTCACTCACTCACTCACTCACTCACTCACTCACTCACTCACTCATTCATTCATTCATATTCATTCATCCATATTCATTCATTCGTTCCCTCATTCGACAGGTATGGCATAAAAGGAACCATAATTTAAAAGTGGAATAATAACGTAATGTAGCTCAAAATAGATTTTTCATCTTGTTGTTATTCATTTAATTTATTTGCTGTTTTCATCATCGTCATAATCATCATCGTCGTCGTCATCATCTCCATCGACTTTATGTTGTAACTAGCATGTAATTATAACACAACAAGCAACAACCGCATTAATCACATGTTTAGGCACGTTTGTTTTGTTACTAGAAATATTTTTGTTCCAATTTTTGAAATATTTTAGTTCTAATTTAAATATGCTGCCTTACAGTTTCAAATGGTCCGTAGAAAGGGCGCTATATAACTGCTCAAATTGAATGATAACAAATAAAATATATTCATGTATGATAAATAAAGTTAAATATATAAACAATTGAATAAACGAACGAAAGAATAAATAAACGAATGAACGAACGAACGAACGAACGAACGAATGAATGAATGAATGAAGGAAGGAAGGAAGATTTTTCGCACTAACCTGTCCATCGTCTAAATAGCCCAGAGTGTAGCCAACCACCTCCAGCCTCACGTCGTAGCTCACCCCACGCACGCAACTTCCTCCAGAAAAACTTTTCCCACCTCCACAAAAAATCAGGGATGTGATGTTTTTTGCGGATGGTCTGAGATGGACGTTGCCAATTCGAATGATGGCCGCACTCGGTACCGGTATGACATCATGGATTCGACACGTGATGTAGATGACGTCACCAGATTGAATGATGTCATTGGATTCGGCGTTGGTTGTTATCTCAATTCTCGACGGTGGCTCTGATGATGATGATGATATGATGATGATGATGATGATGGTGGTGATGATGATGATGATGATGATGATATACTGTATCTATTTTCATGCATTCATTCAATTTTCATTCATTTGTTATCAATCGATCCATCTATTTATCTGCACCGTGTGGATATTGTACTGCAAGTTTGGTTGCTTAACATTCCCCTAACATTTAACACATGTAACGCAGGCATTTTCCCTGTCACAACATTGTTTTATGTAACATGAACTTCTATCCAAATATATTTCTAAGCAAACATTTATTGGCTCATCTATTTGTTTAATTTCTTTTATTAAAACTTTTTCATGAATGTATTTAATATTTTATTCATTTATTCATCTATTTGCATTATTTTCAAATTTTCAAAAAATAATTTATTAAACCATTTGTTACCGCAGTCACTTATCATCTTGATTAAAAATCATTCATCTAATCAATCTATCAATTCATGAATTAATTTAATTGGCCATTAGATTGTCTATTCATCTGTCTTTCAATCTTGACAGATCATCACAGGTTTCTACTGATCCATGTATCCAACCAGCTTCCACCCAACATCATTTCAACTCCCACCAACTACCACTTAATGAACCAGTCAATCAGCACTCCATCCTCATCCAATCACCTTCTCACCAATTTATCCATCCGTTCACTTAGCTGTCCTTTTTTTTAACTCAGTCAATGCATGCATACACTGAATACACCATGTATGCTTGCTTTTAAAACGCACAATTCATAATTCAAATTAGCGTAATTCACCATGCATAATTCACAGTGATCCAACAATGAAGACTTGTGGTGTAAATTAGATGCAAGATGAATCAAATTGATAGGTTAAAGTAGATTTTTCACAATATGTAAATAATTCCTAGTTTTGTAGTGCTACATCAGGTAGTTCAAGGTTGAACAAAATAATTTACTGAATTCAAAATGCATAATTCACAATGAATAAATTAAACTACGTAATTCACAATGCACAATTCACCTACTTGTAACCATCAAACTGGCAAATGTCTTTTTAGTTCGGTCTGATCTGTGCAAACATCCTAACAGTCCTGTGTCCTCTGCTCTGACATCTTTGTGAAGATGATGATGGTGATGACCGTGGTGATAATGATGATGGTGATGATGATGAAGGTGACAATTGCGATAAAGAACTTTAAAAATGGTTTCATGGTGATGATGATTGAATGGTGACTGCTATGACGAAGATTGATGTAATTGGTGGTTCAAAATGGCAGCTGTGATGATGATGGTGATAATTATTATTATTATTTTTATTATTATTATGAAATGGTAGCTATGATGCTGTTGTTGTTGTTGATGATGATGGCGATAATGATGTTGATGTTTTTTATTTACATTGCTACTAGATGATAGTTATGATGG